GGATCTGTGATGCTGACATCAATTCATCTGGCAAAGTTACTTGCAACACTTTTAATTCAGCGAACAAATCATCTAACTCAACATCAGACTTGCTGTCATGAGAAAACTTGTCGAGAAAAATAGTGCAACACTTATGTATATCACTATTATCCAAGGACTTTAGATTTTCTGAGTTGAATAAGAAACCAAATATTTCCTGAAATTTCTTTAGCTGATCAAATCGGTTAGTCAATGAAGCAATTGCATGATCAACAATAACAAGGAAGTACTCAAATTTGAAGGACTCTATAGCTGAAAGTTGTAATTCCTTAGTTTCATCATTTTCTTCATCAAAATGCTTCTTTCTTTTACCTTGACGTTTTGTAGGAAATGTTAGATCTACATTCATACTAGATGCAATGGATTTTGCAGTCTCAATACTAGCACTGAAGCCTGTGTCTCTGTACTTCTGAAAATATGATGTCACCCCTTGAATCTGTTTCAGAGTAGCATCTAAGCACACAATTGGAGATTGCAACTTTTTGCTCACCATGTTGATAGTAGATAAAATATCATCCCAAATAACCATACCAACTAAAAATTCAAAATTCTCAATTGCGGTTACCAATGATTCAGCTTCACTCACCGCTTTTGGGTCATCAGAAGAAGTTCTTTCCACCTCCTTCAAAGCTGATCTTATTTGAGGGGCTTGATACCTGATAGGTTGCACACTCTTTGTGCGACTCTCCCAACGAGTATCTGACAAGGGTTTGACAGTGAACCTCTCAACATTATCAGTCAAAATTTTCCACCTCTTGGTAGAACGTGCAAACAATGCATACATTCGTTGTATGACACCAAAAAATGAAATAGCTTTTCTGCAAGATTTTTCCATATCAGAAAGAGTAAGGTTCAGACTGTGACATGCACATGGCATATACAATGCTCTTGGATTAATTTCAAGCACACGAGTCTGAACACCTTGGTGTTTTCCCTTCATATTGGAACCATTGTCATACCCTTGACCTCTGACATCATCAATGTTCAAACCAAGAGACTGCAATGCATCCAATAATACATTAAAAAGCCCCAATCCTGATGTGTCATCAACTTTTAAGAACTCTAGAAAAAATTCTTCTACCCTTGGAATGACACTTGACATATTAACACAACACACAATTAATGTCATTTGTTCTTCATGGCTCACATCAGGAGTACAGTCCAAGATAACAGAGAAATACTTGGCATCTTTTATGATCTTCAAGATATGTTGTTTCACAGCATCATCAAGAATACCAATTAACTCATTCTGAATAGTAGGGCCAAGATAATGATGATAGATTTCATTATTATGAATGCGTCTAATATGTTCTTGCATCACAGGATCAAATTCAGCAATCATTTCTACTGTGGCCAAGAAATTGCCATTATTTGATTGATAAAGTTTTGCATTTGTTCCTCGAAAGGCTAGATTTTGTTTAGCAAGAAACTTCACAGCAGAAACTATTCTTACCAGAACTTGTCTCCAACGCTCCTTCTCTTTTACAATTTCCCGCTGCATTTCAGCATCAATTGTTTGATTTTTGCTTAATCTAATCCGGAGATCATTCCATGTATTCATGTTTTTCAAATGCTCCTGACTATTCTCATGTTGTTTGAGCTTGTCACTCAAATGCCTCCAATCCCTCACTCCAGCAATGCTAACAAAGCCTTGTTCTGATTTGAGTTAAACAACTTGCAGCAAAAACAATAGACCCTGTCCACATGTTTGGAGTAAACCAGCCACTTCCTGTCAACAACCTCACCATTATTTAATTTTCTGGAGTAATAAGCATATGAAAAACGCCTATTACTAGGATCACTAGGGAATTGTAAATTCATTTCTCTCACAGGCCCTTTTTCAATCAAGATATCCCTTTTGCTATTGTCAAGATTCTCCCATGTTCTAGGATCAAAGTTAGTCAACATAAAATCTTCAATATTCACATTTTCTGTAGGCTGCAAATTTTTACCTCCCAATATTTCCTCATTACCATCAGCTTGCACATCTAAATTTTCTTCCCCTGTTGCAGTAGCACCTTCATTGGCATCAGCTTGAGCTTGTGCATCTAAATTCTGATCCTCTGTACGGTTATCAGCTTGTTCTTGACTGACTTCGACTTTCCTTGAAGATGTAAAAAACTTGTCTATAGCACCCTTTTGCGATTCTTTGAATTGATCTTCTTGTTTTCTTTTTTTCCTTTTCTAAAAACCAGACAAATGTTTCTTTGGCAACATCTATCATGTAAAAAAATATTTTGAATTATAAATCAAATCCTTCAGTTTCTAAACTCTATGTCCCTATCGGCTATCACAACATAAAAACAACCTAAAAAACGAAATTGCAATAAAAAAAATCTCAATTATTACTTTAAAAAAATATGCAATGAAAATTATAATGACAAAAATCCCATTATCCCAAAAAAATGAACAAAGAACACAAGAATTTGTGATTTTTTTTTTCTAATTTAAGAACCTTAATCTACAATTTCAACAACCAATCCATCCAACCGACCATAGATTCATTCTTTTATCACTAATGCAAGAAATGAATTCAGAAATTTACCTGAAGGAGAAGAAGAAGCCGAGTAATAAGAAAGCCAAAGGAAGCGTCTGTAAAACTAAAACCGAGAAGTCGAGAACTACTGTAAAACCGAGAAGTCGAGAACTAAGAAATAAGAAAGCGTTTGATAAAATAAATTCTTGCCTGAACCCTACTACAACTAAAAAGAAAATACACTATTCATATGGGTAAAACCGAAATTTGACACAAAAAGATATCCACTCAATCTCTCTCTACCGACCGACACTCTCTCAATATATAATAGGGTGTTTTTTTTTTTTTTT